GGCCCTGGCTCTCTCTCTCTCTCCGCCTCCCCTTCAGTCACGTTTGCACTTGATAGACATTTTGACCAGGAAACAACCACCATTAAGCACGCTATAACAACCAGGAGTCTCGGTTTGACTTGAGGAGTGCATCCTCTACTAGCAAAGGGTCTGGAGTAAAAGCGCCAGTGATTAAGCCAATTAAAAACAAGCTTAGAACGCGGCTAAACTCCGCACCCGACTGTTCCCCCGCGCGCGCAAATTTGAATACAAACTGCAGTCCGTTGCGTACAACGTAGTGCTACAGTAACCTTACGCCTAGTTCCACTACTCGTCGAGACGTAAAATCTTCATAAAAGTTTCCAGTCCACCATTGCCGCGGGTGGTTCGCAAGAGCCGCTCGCGTAAGGTAGCAGTGGCAACTGCAACGACTAACTTTGGTGCAGAATGGGGAGAGCGGATAAGACGACAGGTGCACGGTATGCTGAAGAGGAGAAGGATGTCACGATAGCGGAGTTGCGTCGGCAAATGCAGGAGGCCTATCCGGACTTTTCGTTGTCAGCCATGACGCTTTGGAGGCTAGTAAAAGGTCTCGGGTTCTCGTACAAGATCGTCAAAGGGCAGCGTTTCATATTTGAACGCTTGGATCTTGCCCGCAAGAGATCCTTGTATTTGAGAAAAATTGATGAGGCCAGGACTAGAGGGGACTGCGTGGTCTACATGGATGAGACGTGGGTGTTCGAAGGTATGGTGAAGAGGAGAGGTTGGGTAGATAACACCATGTCGCGTTTTCCCTCCGCCGAGGCGATACAGCAGTACTCTTGTGGCAAAACTGCTGGGAAGAACAAAGGGAGGCGCGGCATCGTTATCACGGCATTGTGTGAAGAAGGAATCATACCGGGTAGCACCCATGTCCTCGTAAGTGGACACCGGACCGCGCAGGGCGATTTTCAGCGAGAGATGGACCACTCAGTGTTCGAGGAATGGCTGGAATCGTCAATCCCTCTGATGAAGGAGTTCGCAGCAGGGCGGAATGTTACTCTAGTGCTCGATAACGCTCCTTACCATACTAGAGCTCTAGAGAAGGTGAGAGTGAAAGAGATCAGCAAGTTACAAAACATGAACTTGGTATCATCAGATTCCGACCAGACGCTCCACGATACAGGAGATTACCAGCTATCTCAACTCGCACGGCGTCGAAGTGGCTGCCGACAGTACTAGAGCTTCTCTCCAAGAGGAGGTTTGTCTACGTTTCGACACTGCCTTATCCCTTCTTTAGTCAATGTTTAGCTTGACCATTTCGTCGCCAGTCGAGGCGGTGTGGCAGCCTTGCGTTGCTACGCCGCGGAGAGGATTTGCGAGGATATGGGGGTGAGCTTGCTTAGGCTCCCCCCATTTCACTGTTATTTCAACCCCGTGGAGCTTTGCTGGAGCTACCTGAAGTACAGGCCTCAGTAAGATTGGGAAACCCACGGATAGGCTGGAAACAGTATTGTTTTCTGGAACGCACGCTTTACACGTCTCTGATAATGTAACACGAATATTGTTCAGGTCAGAATGAGGGCACTGGAGATTTTGGGGAGAGTGTCCAGGAACCTCTGCGAGGCCTGGTGTGGAAAGACGTTAGAGGAGGAAGACTCCGCGCGATTGAAAGAGGCTTTGGATGCCAGTTATGGTGATATGGGCGCTGAAGAGCCCTCATCATCTGACAGCGACCTGTCAGATGATGTGATTAGTGGCTATAGTGTCGAGCTGTGAATATTTCTTTGGTTGTTTTTGTAGATTCTAGTCAGTACCATAACGGGTT